GAAGGCTGGGAGCATTGAAGTCTCCCACGATCACTAAGGGGTCCTTGTCTGCCAACTTGATCGCCCGGAGGAAGATTTCGCTAAACGTTACGCGGGGCTTATGCGGGGGGCTGTATATATTTAGGATGTGTATTGACTGGTCGCGACATCTGAGAGGCAGTACTCTGACCATTGTGTATTCTTGTTCAGTACTTAAGTTTAAATGCGCATATATGAGGAACGATAACAACACGTATACATTATTTATGTGCGTAGTTTACTAGAAGAGGCATACATAAAAATTCTAAGGACTGTAGCGTTTATCACACTGCGCTGAACATGGAATACTTGCATGAAAAGACGGTGTTTCCCCACCGGCGGTGTTTCCAACGCCTTGCTAAGACGACCCCGTGGTGGCGCCTACCCGGCGCCTGGCGTTCTACACCTTTTGATAAGAACCAGTAGTCCAAGTCCTTCCCTGGTCATGATGGCCCAGACACGCACAGAGCATCGGCCACTGGCAAAGACCTGACTGCGTGTACTGTGGTGAATACCTGGCGAGGAAGGAAATGCTAGATTGGTTACACGGATATATTAGAACGACATTGGCACATAGTCACTTTACCCCCGAAATATTTCGTCTGACTTGAAGATCCATATAATGAAATTTTAATTATGCGAGATCGCAAAGATGGTGCGAAATATTCGACATGTTGGTAAGGCACCCTCAGTGCGTTCCAGAAGGCCTTGCGAACTCAACTGTATTTTTCTAAGGTAATGAGGTACAAAATACAAACCTGCCCTGCCCTGCCCTGCCTTGCCCTGCCCGGCCCTGCCCTGCCTTAGCATCCCGGACAGAAGATGCTAAGGTGCTCAAGTTTGGCGAGCTGCTCACGATAAGAAGTCACACAGCTTAAAGAGAATCAAAGCGAAGCAACGTTCTACAGCAAGTTCGAAGACAATAAAGTGCTGGGCTTTCCTTGCCTTAACCACACCGTAATTAAGGCGCACTGTAGTGGGTGAGCAGACATTAATTTTTACCAGCTGCGGTTACTTACCCTGTGCACTACTCTTTCTACACATTTAGTGGTAAATAGTACAAGGATGATATTAATGTAGAAGACAAGTCGCAAATGCTACCTCGAGTTCATTGGACGCCATACTCGCCGTTCCTGATCCCAGCAACTTGAAAACGTTGATTCATCGCTGAACACGAGTTCTCCCCACTCTTCTGATCCCCATGTCTGCACAGAACGCGCAAACTGCAGTCGCATGAATCTTTGCCTGTTCGTGATGTGGGGCTTCTGGGCCGCGACGCAGTCGGCAAGCCCTGCTTCTGCCAACCTCCTACGAATAGTCCAGATAGACGCGTTGAGATGCAATGCATCTTTTATGCATTTCGCTGTTACATGGGGATCAGCTACTACGGCGGCGATAATTAGCCTGTCCACTTCGTCATCTGTGCATCTTGACCTTCCAGCACGGTCTCTGTCACTGATCCCCCCTGTCTGTCGGTACGCTTGGATTGCACGACTCACCGCATTTCTTGACCCTTGAAGGAGCCGGCAGTTGACCCGCTGAGAAAAGCCTTGGATGCTTAACTCTACGATGCGTCTCCTTCCATCAGCTGGTACTCGTGGCGACATTTTGAAGACGAATCTGGGGGCCTTGAAACCCCCGATCTTATACTCTTTCGAGAATGGCACTGTCCAATAGCTGTCTAACAGCTGGGCTTTGCCGCTATATGCTGCCATTCAACATTTGCTGTACGAGATAATATCGTCACCAAGCCCGAAAGACCATGAAACAAGGCAAATAATTAACAAAAATGACAAAATGGTACTACGCCTGCGTCGCAAGCACGCGGGAACTTCTGAGTGCCCAATTTTTCTGAGAGAGTTACAATAAAGAATTGAATTTCCACGCAGTGAGTAATGTATACAAAAGGAGCGGTGTGCAGCCGTGCGAGGTATTTGGTCGAACAGCTTAAGGAATTAACTTTTGTTTCCTTGTGGGGCCTCCAACATTTGAGCACTTCGAACTAAAATGTGCTCGCCTGTAATTCACTGCAGTGTTTTACAAAACAACGTGACCAGAATACCACAATACACGCTGATGCTCGAGTGACGGATGTTAATGGAGGCAGTCTCGATTCCCGACTACTTCGCGTTCGCGAATGTCCCGTGCATATGCAATGGGTAGAGTTCTATTGAAATACTGAAAGCGGTGACGCCCCTTTCAACCTTCGTGACCTTCTCTGGTTTCCGAAAAAAAAAAAAACATTCACAGATATCCCCAAATACGAAAAGATTCGACAGTGAAAACCTATGACATCTCTTGCACGTCTCAATCCGCATTATTTCACGCTTACTTGTCTTAATCTACTATAATGCATCAAGTAAATGGGTTGACTTCAATCGGGGTTTATGGTTCGAGTAGTAAAAGGCGACACATGAATATCTGAAATTCGAATCCTACAAACGCTTGGGTCGAGGCTCAACTCCAACCAATAATAAGTGTGGGCTCTCGACGTGACAACCACGATATGGAGAGAGAAACAATTTTTATTATATACATATGACATAGAGCTCCACCAAAGTAACGTCTTGGGAATGTTCGCTCATTCGGGGTTCTTTAACGTCCACTCAGTATACTAGTTTGAAGTATCTCTCGTCTATCGATATACGGCATGCGCGACTAGACTTGAAGATGCGTCTTTCGTGTCAGCAGCCGTGCATCGAAACCACTGCACCACCGCAGCAGCCTTAATAAAGGATTTATCCTTAATAAACCGAGTTTGTTTTCACCTTTCTTCTTTGGCTCTTTTCTGCAGCTGTTGGACGTTTGGTGGTTTCATGCATGTTCGTAGACACGCGATATTTGGACCGAGTATTACTACGTGCGTTAGTTCGGCAAATGAGAGCGCAAAACGCAACACTGCAGGCTGAGCTTATTGATTGCCTCACTCGACATTCAAAATGTGATCACGCCGCGGATCGCCTAGGAGTAACGTGCACTATATGCAGCACGCCGAAACCCGCAAATGATGTGCTGTCGTCACATTAGCGCTCGGCTTTTTTTTTACTGTCTTCACAGCGACTACAGAAGTAACACCTTGCACCATCCGCATTGTTTCGAGATGCGCGCCGTTGAAACGAGCGAAAGGGCAGGCTGCCGGGTGATACGGAACGAGCATGCACAGTACGCGCTCCCGGACAGAGCCATCCAGCCGCCAGAAGGCGCAGCGACGCGCCTCGGCACGCGCTCCCGTGGTCTCTAAAATTATGCACTCGACTGTACGTCATACCACCCCATGTGAGTCAGCCCGAGGCCCCCATCGCCGAATGGCGTATGGGGGGCTGTAGCTGACCTGTGAAGGGCGCGGTTGATGTTCAGATGTGCCCATCTTCAACAGATGACCCCAATTTATCCGCGGTAACTGCAAACGCTTCGCCTTGCCTGGTTTGTGAACGAGTTTTTGATCGTACTCTTTTCACATCGCTTTGGCGCATCTTCGCAAGATGACCGTAACCACGGCATCGATAACACCTCACTTTCACCCAGCCACAAGGAAGAAAAATAGAAAAAGAACGGCATTCATCCAGCCACAAGCGTTGCTGTTGTACTTCTTACTTCCGCAACGTACCCATTCCAACACCATTTCATCTGCGTGTGCTTGTCGTGAATTAACCGTTAGTATGAGTGGAAAGCCGGCACACATCTGTTTTGCGTCATTTTCAGCCGCTTCAGCCGATATAGATATTGCTTCGGCCTCTTCCAATGTTAAGTCCGTTTTCGCTAAGAGCCGCAAAGAATCCTTTCTAGCATGCTACCGAAGTTGCAGCTATCCGCCATCCGGTGAATTTCAACAACGAACTGATTATTGGGCTCACCTTCCAATTGGCAGCGCTCAAAAAAGCGGAAACATTCAGTTATCTCGTTACGCTTGGGGTCGAACTATTCGTCCAAGACCATTACTGCTTCTCCATACGTCAGTGAATTAGGCTTCCTTGGCGCAACTTTCCCTGCTAGCACTTGCACAGTCCGAGTACATAGTGCAGCCACAAGCAACGCCGGCTTCTTCGTTGCGTCGCTCACGCCACTTGCCTCAAAATATGTTTCGGGTTTCGTAACAGAGGCCTTTCAGTAGTCAGCCTGGTTGTCGAACTTCGGTAGTTGGTGATTAGCCATGGTCGGTATCCCCGCAGTCGTTATTTCCTGTTTAACTGCCGGATTAAGGCTGAATTTATCTTCCGCTTCTGGGTTCTTCGTCGCCACTGTTATAACGCACCGACACGCACGACGTGGGTACTGAATAGGACAGCATCCACTTGACAAGCAAAAACAGAATCGTTGATTCCTCCCACTTGGAAGTGTATACTTAGCAACTAAAAGGGGGGGAGGGGGCGGGGTCAAGGGAAAGATAGCAAGCACAAAGGCATGCGCCACTGGCGCTTGCAGATCAGTTCGATAGCGCTGACGTCACTTCCCAACATCTTTGGTTAACTCTAATAGCCATAAGAAACAAAGGGTTTCGATGCGTGCGAGCCAGTATTGCATACCTAAAGAAAAATAATTGTATGTTATTTGAAGTCAGTGCTACGTCTCATAATTGCGATGAGATGAAGGACACATTAGTCACTGACGTTTCTCGATCGTAGAGTCTGTTCTTCTGACTACTGAAAATAATTTCACTAGAGAAAGCGAAGTCCTTTGCATACTACGTCTAAACTATACAAACGGTACAAAGGAGTTCGTATGTAATGTTCGTTCATATTGGTCACTATGGCAGCACCAGGGCTAGTTGAATAATTTCACTCTCGATGCATTTAAAGTGATTTCAAAAAAAAAACAGAAATCGAGGTCCAAATCAGACTACAGGCCCACAGTCTTCTTTGCCTTTTTCTTGTTCCCCAGTCTCAACAGAGATGAAACTAAATTCAGGGTCATCTGAACTGAGTTTATTAGCTCCGCTTAATTTTGAATATATGTGAACGTTTCTGTGCTATTATACGACGCAGGTGCTCTGACTGGCCCAATCAACTACTACCGGGCGTCTTTTGGGAAGCGGCCGGAAGTTGGCTTCCACTTCCGAAGACTGAAAATACCTGTGCTCATAGTGTGGGGTCGCCGAGACTTGGCACTTACTGAAGGCATCGCTGTGCTTAGTTTGGACTATGCCAGTGGGGGTCGCGTCGAGTATGTATCTGATGCGGGACACTGGGTGCACCGGGAGCGGCCAGAGATCGTCAACAGTCACATCAGGCGCTTTTTATCAGAAGAGAAATAAACGATGCTCTCTTTTCTCCACTAACTTGCCGGTTCATTATTCACAAGGTCTAAAAACTACCACAGCCTAGGTCTTCTCCATTCGCAAAAAAGATTTCATACGCCCCTGCGTCTACAACAAGCATTTAAAAAGGAGCAGTGACATCAACTTGACTAATGTCGCGTTTTTCGCGTCAACGCGTAGTTATTGATCTTCTAGTAACGATTCAGTACTAATAATGCAACACCGGGACGCCCCAGTTAACTTCATCACCAGGGATGAGAATCGACACTCACTTTATTAATATCAGTCACAGCGTATCATTTCTCCGTGTTCTACTCGATGCTTACCCTAAATCTGACCTCTATATAGCTCACTTTCGAAAAATGACAGCATTCGGCGTTCGCGCATCACTTAAAGCTCGCTCATATTTTTCTCACTAAGCACTTCTTTCTCGATACTTTGCTTACATACATTCTCACGTCACTTGTGGTATCGCTTTATGGGGTAATAATTATCAGTGTCATCTTTCGTCCATACAGAACTTACAAAACAGAGCCCTTTGCTTTATTTTTACCTCTTCTCACGACAGTAACATAACTTACCTCCTCCATTGTAATAACATCTTAACTGTTCGCAATTTTGTGAGCGCGACAAGCGAATAACTCTTTATTCTCTTTGATATCATCATCACCTGTACATCTTCTTCATCTGTAAATATCATCACCAGCGTGATTTTGCTCGAGCCTGGCTGAATAAACTGGTTCCTCACAATATATTTAGATTTAATATATTTATGTTTTTGCATTAACAAATAACAGAAACTTTCTACCAATTTTATTGAACATGAACTCTTAGTTAATACTAACGCTACCAGGTTTGGGGCTAACAACAACTTCCTGCTTAAATAATCTTCACACTTCTGTGTCATCTCAACGTGAAACTTTCTTACCCTCATCAATAAAATGAAAAATTTCTTTGACTTCGTTTAAACATTCAATAAAACATTATTTGTTAAACTTATGAAGTTCCTTCATTTTGGTGTACCAGATTTATTGCTATGTATTGTACTAAAGATGTGTGCTTTAGTTTCATGTCTTTTTGTTTTTTATTCTAGTTTAGACAAAAATGATACATTTTGTGATGTGGACACGTGCCCACACGCACTGCCCTCTGGCCGGCAACGAGGCTGCAGACGCGGCGGCTCGAGAGCTCACGAACCGAGCAGCTGCGCATGACGATGCCGCCTCTACCGAGGCCACACGCGGAAAAGTGTTGGAGTGGGAGGAACGTATGACTAGCTACAGTGAGATTACGCAGCACTAGAAGCTCGATAGGTGTATATACCCACCACCACATAGCAAATGAACTAAGAAGCAGTCAGTTGTATGGAGACAACTCCCAACAGACACTTTTCCAAGTCCAGTGATCTTTCGCCTCTGTTACCCTGACCTGTATACGACAGATAAAAGCGAAGCATGCAATTCCCGGGCAACCCTGGGCCATATGTTACGGGACTGTTCGAGCCTCAATGACGCCGTCAGCAGTACAAACGAGGAGGCAGTCTCGAACCGCTGGGCGCACTAGGAGGCGGCTCTGCTCAGATCCGCATTAGAACAACTATGGGCCGTCCAGCGAGCCGAGGAAGGCGCCTGAGCCCAAGGGCTCGCTTGCCAATGCCTAGGCCGCGGTTCAAGTCCGCCTCGATTTATCATCGCCGGACTCTTAATAAATGTTGTTTTTCTCTCTCTCTCTCTAGTTTAGATATGCCTTGTTGGTTCAGGTGTTCCAGTGTTGTGGTGCTTTTAAGTTTACTCATTATATTCTGTGTTCTTGAATTTCGTTTCTTGACTTTTTGCTTTTTATATTTGGTTTGTTCAGTTGTGACTGCTGCTTTTAATGGTTTTATTTAATTGTAACCATAACTGAAGGTCCCAGTGCAGTTGCGCACTTTAGGACCCTTATCTGTATACTTCATATTTTGTTTTCATTCTTTTTGTCTTAATAAAACTCAAAAACTCATCAACTCAAGAGCACGCTATATGCCCCTCGATGAATTAGAGCATGCTGACCTTAATGAAGAAGAAAGAATACTTTTACAATAAACTAAAACACAATGAAACCAACAAGTATGAGAAAGCCCAGTTTAAGCTTTTGTGAAACAAATTCTTTATGTTAATTGAGAAAGCAAAAAAAAACTTACTGCACCAACATAACTAAGCTGCAAATTGGTGATGGAAGGTGAATATCAAGATTTGTTGGAGATGCTGAAAGATTAGAAGATAAACGCTGTTTCCTCAGAAAATGTATCTGTTCAGACAGCTAATCACTTTCATGATGATTTCTCAAGAATCGGTTTGAACATAAACAAAGAGGCTACCCTTAGAGCTTCCACAACAGGGCTTGAAAGATGTACTGTGACTTTAATTTTTGTGAAATACATTTGAGGAAGTAAAATCAAGCGTAAGAAAATTATCTGCGAATGAGGCATCTAAACCTGGCGGTATTCAATTTAGGATCCTGAAAAACAATATAGATATCATGTGCGGGCCCCTCTGCCACATTTTGAATCACGCAGTAAGCATGAACTGTTACCTAGGCGTATCGATAGTTGACAAAGTTATTGCAATGTAAAAATATGGTGACCCGAACAACCCTAGTAGTTATAGGCCAATAATTATTTTCAGTATTGTGAATACCCTATTTGAAAGACTTATTGCCTTAAACTAAATGCAATTTGCGAGAACAACAACAACATTTGCCCGCAGCAGCATGACTTCATTGCATGTAGATCTACTGCAACCACCATTTCAATACTTTCACAATTCATTAACACCGCTATAAACACGCAGAACCTTCAAGTGTCAATATGCAGTGTCAAAGGCGTTTGACACAATCTGTCACGCTAGACTACTTGAACAACTAGAGTCTTATACGAAATAGTTCAAATGGGCTTCAATTCATCCAGAGCTGTTTTCATGCACGTAGACAGCAAGTAGTAACTAACAAATATTGCTTTACTTTTGCTGTTTTCACAAGTGGAGGGCCACAGGGCTCGGTTCTGGGTGCCATTTTTTTTCTCTTTATACGTGAAGGATCTACCACAATATCTTAAGCTCACATAAGTAATAATTAATGCTGATAACGCAGCGTTACTTTACACAGGTAACTCACTTCATTGAAATACGTGACATGAAAAATGACAATAAAAATAAGTGGTTTACAGAAAGCAGGCAAGCCGTAAATACTGAGGAAACTCAATCTGTCGGATTTCACTCACGCAGGAAAATAGTAAACTACAGCAGCCTTAATATTTTTCTGGACAAACTAACTCTGGATAGGGTCGACACATTTAATAGGAGTCCTTTTCGACCAACATTTGCACGGGAGAGACCCGATCAATACTGTCTGTAGAAAATTAGCTTTTAGCTGTTATGCACTGGTCCACTTCCACCCGTATTTTCTTCGTTCTTCACTTCGTTGCATAAGCCTTTAGCCTGTTTCCTTCACATTTCGGTTATTGCTGTGACGCTTGAGGCTCAACACACAAAACCTATTTAAGACATGCTGCAGTTACAAAAAACATGCTTTGAGAATAATAACATTCTCTCCAGTTCATTAACCCAGTAGCATTATATTCAAAAATCTTCATATTTTCTCATTTATGGCACAAAAAAGTGATAAAGTAACTTGCTTGGTTCACAAAATACTGTACTCTGACTTTCCACTACCCATGCCATATCCAAACACCAGCCAAACACGTCAGTAAACACTGGGATGAATGATAACTTTTCTGCCCGTATTCCTCTGCATGCGGGACAACTCCACTGTTCTTCCGCTGCATCGAATTTTCCTTTAAATCTTCTTTCACTAATGCCGGAGCAAGTTCCTATGTGATAAGAAGCGAGGGATTCATTGCAAACGATGTAATCATCATCAGGACCAACAGACAAGCCACCTTTAAAGCAAGATACATCAGTAACAGTACACACGGCGGTAAGTTCTTGAGCAACAGCATAGGGTGCAGGTTATTGTATATAGTGTCTTAAAATAATTAGCAAAGATATATGCCATTCACAAACCTGTAAAGCGTAGGAATGCAGTTTAGCACGCACCTTTCCTGTGCCGCTGCTACTGCCCAAGTGAATACGGCATCCACGGAACTTTTCTTTCGAGCTGCTAAAAGGCAGGGGGGGGGCGTCGTGGTCACTTGTGATGTTCTTTGCACACGGCTTGCGAACAGCAGCTTTACAGACACGTGTAGAGACATGTGGCAATCAGACACATGGCAATCAGTGATTTCTGATGCAGTTTACGCAGACTGAAAGTACCACGCATTCTGCTGCACAGTCGCTCCCCGGCTACTCTTTTACACGTGTCGCGACAGCTGCCGCAATCTCGCCAAGCAAGAGACACTGTAGCACGCACCTTTTCTGTGCAGCTGCTGCTGCCCAAAGTACTTCGTCGATGTTTTGTGATATTTTTATTCTTTATATAGATTAACGAGATCAATTTGCGTATAACGAGCGCCTTACAACTGTTTGTAGATGATTGCGTGGTATGCAAAATATATCTTGTGAACAAGACGTGACTGCTCTTCAGGGAGGCTTGTGTACAATTTATGACATGTGCAAACAGAGAAAAAATGGGTTTTAACGCAAAAAATGTATCCATATGTGTTTGACTAAAAAAACACCCTGATAAATAACTACTATACAACTAAGAAGTAGCTTACCACAAGTTGTGTTTCGAAGTACTTAACCTTGGTGTTTTCTGCTGATTGTTATTGGAATGTATATACCACTGAGATAGTTGGCAAGGCTGGATGGGCGCTGAACTTTGTTCAACGAAATCTAAGATACCGTGAGACAAAATTATAATGGAATGCGGTTACTACTTGTGTAAGACCAATATAAGAGTATGCCTGCCGACTATTGGATTCATCGGAAATCAATCTCACTTCTCAGATAGAAAGTAAGTAAAACAGGGTGGCCAGGTACGTCCTGATCAGGTACAGTTGAACAGACAGTGTCACAACAAAGAAA